TTTCCCTATGTCTTAATAAAAATAAAATTTTGCACTATACCAAAAATATTTTGTACTAAAATTATCGATTATGCTATTTAACATCTGTATACAGTCGCTAATTATTGCGGTCGCGCGCGCGCGTCTGAGGTTATGTATATTGAAAGTATAATAACTTTTTTCAGTATTTGTAATGAGACGGCAAAAAAGTGTAGGTAAATCAATGATAGAAAAATATTTGATTGTATCAAATTACCTCGATAAACTTATTGAGTATAAGTAAGATTTTTCCAATCTATACATACACGTGTGTGTATATATATATATATATATATATATATATATATATATATATATATATATATATATATATATTTTACAAAGTAATATAATTCATAACAATTTTCTTGGTCGAAGAGAGAAAGTAAAAAAAAGGAACGTGGAGCTTCCATTTTATAATTTTCCCACGTCTACTTTCCGAAGTATCTTCTGCATCTCGTGAAAGTAAAATCCTGCTATCCTCATAAAAACAGAAGCGTAGAGAATCTGCGTGCTGAGACTCAGACCTAGAATTATACCGAGAAAAATGGTTTGGGTAATGACAGAAAATATTACTGCTGCGATAACTGATTCTACTTTTTTACGGTGCTCCAAGATTTTTAGCCTCTACAGTTGAGAGCTTTTGTTTCTATGTTTAACGGCCGCTTGTTAAGCTGAAATTGTTGGTTTTGATTAATATTATAAATAAAAATACGCGAATAATATAATACTTTTCAATGCAAAAGTATTTTTTACATTGGTTTCGGTCTCTGTCTTTTGACAGAAATACGTTTAACGGCTGCGGTGGCACTAAACATATATTTAAATGTGTAAGTTGCGTGCACTTAATTTAATATCCAGAATTTAATGTAATGAAATTAGTAAATCATAAAATATTATATAAGCAATAAAATAAGAGAATTTTAAGCTATGAATTTAAATAGTTTCTTTAAATATCAATACACTTGGCAGAGTAGTTAAAAGATGCATGATGTTATCGATCCTCCTGGATCCATGAATTTTGTATAAAAGTGTGCGCTTTTAATAGGATAAAGTTTTTAGGCTCGGGTTAGGAAGGATGAAAAAGGTATGAGAGATCGTAACGATTATATTAACTTTGTGAAAACTTGAGTCTACAATCAAAGTGATTTTATGCTTTGATTTACATATTTTCGTTTGTGTAAAATTAATGTTAATTTTGTGATAAAGTGTGCATAAAATTTGATAGAAATTTTCATATAATTTATGCAATATTCGTGTAAGCTCTTACGATAAATGCACATGATGTAAGAGAAAAGTATTAAATAATAAGCTACTTATTTCAATTCAGTAATTCATTTTGTAATTATGGGTTTGCGAAAATTTTGCGTACAAATTCGTATGCGAAATCGACGAAACAATTTCAAAGCATTGCTGATTATAATAATAACAATAATAGTGATAACAATAATAATGATAATAGCAATAATAATTATTGCCATTATCGTTATCATTATCATTACTGTTGTTGTTGTTGTCGTTGTTGTTGTCGTTGTCGTTGCCGTTGTCGTTGTCGTCGTTGTCGTTGTCGTTGTCGTCGTCGTCGTTGTCGTCGTTGTCGTTGTCGTTGTCGTCGTCGTCGTTGTCGTCATCGTCGTTGTCGTTGACGATGTCGTCGTCGTCGCCGTCGTCGTCGTCGTCGTCGTCGTCGTCGTCGTCGTCGTCGTCGTCGTCGTCGTCGTCGTCGTCGTCGTTGTTGTTGTTGTTGTTATAATCAGCAGTATCATTATTATTATCGTCATTTTTATTGTTGCTTTTGTTTTCATCTCTTACTTATGTTGTAATAATGATTTATAAAGATAAAAAATATTTATTCTTAATCTGTTCTGTAATCTGTTTAGTGGAGATCTTAATTGTCAAAAGCCAATTTCTTGGTCCAAGGTGACTTGGATATATATTTTGACAATTGAAGAAGAATAGAAGATTTAAGCTTGTCTCATATATGATTTTGGTTTTCAAGTTCATTCCCGTCGATACATGAATGAGTCGATCGATACTCGATCGACTTAAGAACACGTCCATCCTTTGTCTATTATCGTCGCTTTTGCTCTGTCCCCGATCTTTACCTCCAGCAATTCACCGAGCATCGATAATGACGCGATAAATAAACTCGGCGTCCCTACGTTAAATGGTCGAGGTCGGGAAGGTGAAGGTGGCGGTGGAAGGTGGCGGTGGAAGGGGGGAGGGGGGAGGGTAGCGCTGAAGCCGCCACGTCGCACGCCACTGCAAGAAGCTAGTGGAAAGCCTTTGGAAAGTGCAAATACCATACCGATGAGAGGGTCCGGTCAGCGTCGGCCGCTTTCGACTCCTGTCGTTGCCACCTCTTCTGCTCCCCATTCCTGGCTGGCATTTGCACGAGGGGTATCTCCGCGGTCGAGGGCCGCCCCTTGTTGTTTTCGTCCTCGGCGCTCGTGGAGTAGGGCACGAGCCGCTCGCTCATCAGTCCGAGCCAGAGCATCGAGACGAGGAGAGTGAGGCCGGTGATGCCGAAGGTTTGGTAGATGCCGAAGCGCGTGTAGATAAGCCCGACGAAGACGGGACCGAGGACCCGAGAGGCGCAGCCAGCCCCGGTCATCAGACCCATCCAGACGCCCTGAGGTCGGGGCCCCAGTACTTTGCTGAAAATCGTCTGAATGAGGGTGACTCCGAGGGGATAACCGATCGTCGTGAAACTGTAGCCGATGACGAACTGCAGGACCGTCATGCGGGGCGTGTAGCGGCACCATTCCTGGCTGCTCGGGCACCCGACCTTCTCCTTACCCGTCAGCGGGTCCATCGTCTCGTTCGTGTAAGCTGCGCAAAGTTATAATCCATTTGCCAACTGGTGCAATTGCATTCGCGCTTCGTTGCCACTCGGCTGGCTCGCGCGAGCCTCGGTAGCACACAGCTTCGACGAGGGCCCCGACGGGGATCGATAAATTTAAAGAAAACCTGGGAGTTCTCGTCTTGCGAGTCAGACATGAAGGCACGACGCATTAAGATCATGGGGTAGATATAGGCAACGATGGAGGGAGGGTGGACTCGGCTCGGTTACACTTGGTTCTCAGGCATTAAAGCGAGAAGTCATGTTGTCGCCACCATTAGACGGGATAGGTGTCTTGGTGCATGCTACGTACAAACTGGCTACACGCAATGGATTTCGGGTACAATATTATTGTTGTCGAAGTGAATGGAGACGGATGGTTCGTTGAGCTTTAACAGGGATGATGCCCCGATAATGAAATGTGTTAGCGTTTTCATAATGCGATTGTATTTATTGATAGTAGAATGTGAAACGCGATGGTGCAGGAGTCGAGGAACGAAGGGCGTTAATAGTTTTAAGGCCAAGGACCGACGATAAATACCTATTTGGTTATTAATTTGGTTATTAATAGACCGTTTGGTCTATCATGTCTATCATGTCTGTTATATGTCTGTTGAGGATACCCGTCCAAGCAATTTATTTATCAGTTTTGTTTATTTTTTGATCGCGCTGCTGTACAATACACGCACTACGATCGGTAAAAGTATCGTTGCTAAAGTTTCCGAAGAATCTGGCCTCTAAAAGATATTTAATCAATGTCCACGCGAGCTTTCTTACTTTTAACGTACGAGCAAAACTTTCTATTTGTAATAATAAACGTTTTATGATGATAATAAAAGTATCCGAGTTTACGCGCGTGTTTGTACTAGTCGCGTTGCTCTAGCTAAGAGAAGAGGGAATTAAGCCTACTTAGATATAAGTATAACAGATTTGTAGATGAAATGTTGACCTTGAACCGATAAGTAAAAGAGAATAATGTAATTTCACATAGAAAGAACGATTTATTTATTTAATCCCGCTGTGAATAAAAATTTGATGCTTTATTCCTTTAAACGGAATATTCGTTCTTGAGAGAAAGCTTTAATACCCATCTTAAATTACCATAAACGTTTGTCACTGGGAGATAAATAAATCGAGAGGCTAACCAGATTTTTAATTGATGAGCGATCTTAAACGTGCGCGCTCACTTGGTTTCTCTTAAACGAAAATTCGAGATTTCTTGGTAAAAGGGAAGAGACGACACTGCTTCGGTATCGCGATCGTGTATAGACTCCGTATATGCTCCTCGAGATCTTATCAATGCCAAGTTTTAGTTCCGATCGAGTATTTTTCTTTTTCGAATATTATAATTTTAGATCTAAGCATTTAAAATCGCCACAATCAAATATAAAATCAAATATAAAATCGCGCTACCGAAACTAAACAGGTTCTTTGATATTTTATTTCTTCATATCTTTGATGGAAAAGCTTTTGGCAATGTAAATTACGCGAGTGTCATGAGAAAACACATTGATAAATGATCGTGTTGCCACGGTGATCGATGGCTTATAATTAAGTGGAACCGTCGCTACCTTCGCTCATCACCGCCGCCTAAAAGATATACGTCATTTTTTATTTTTCCATGATAATTTCAATATTAATTGTATTTACCGTTATAATATGTGTATTAAGCGACTCACATACTATTATTTCCAACAGAAACATGCATTTATTATAAAGCACTATTTTTCTTTGGGAATTAGTTAAAATTCATGTTTCTAAATAGCCAACATTAACAATAAATACAACGCGATAAACGCGAAGCGAGCGCGAATTAAAAAATCTCAAAACTTTTCTCGCATCGGATTTCATTTGGTAAATCGATTTTTTTCACCTCGTTATGCACGTACTTATGGGTCTAAAATGTAAAATAATCCTCACGACCCTGATATCAAGGCTTATTATATACAAGCGATTAATTTTATAGTATTTCATTAGTAATTAAATGGGGTG